ATGACCAGGAAGGACGGGGAAGCTGGAGGAAAAATCTTGTTAGTCACCCCTTTTAAAACAAAGTAGAACTGTCCACAGTGATTTTTATTAATTTAATGTCTGTGTATTTCTAATGAAATCACTTGCAGCAAAGAGAACAGGTAGAGCACAAGGAAAAAAAAACTGAGCTGAAGGATTATTTTGTTCCTTTGCTTCTTCAGTGAAAACTAGAGTGCACCAGTTAAGAAGACTATGAACTCTGGGCCTCAGTAATCTTTCTCTATCTTGTTTTTGCAATCTATTAAATAGAGATACATTTCTCTATGTTGCTGTTTTGAGAAGATTATATTAAAAAATCAAATGTATGCATTTATCGTGCCACTGGAAATCTCCATACAGAAAGCTGAAGAACTGCAGTGCCAATTCTCTTATAAGGAGGCAGTTAGAAGTCCTTTAACCATATCTCCTTCTGAGCACCTCAAAGACAGAAAGACATATGTTTCCTCATCCCATTGTCACAGATCAATGTAGTGTTGCCCCTACCTATGTACAAACTTTCTTCCTTTTCCATGTTGGCATGTCTGTCTTCTTTTACCATCATATCCACATGCTTTATTCCTATACCCCTGAAACTCTGGAAGTTTCAGCCTCTTTTGAATAGGTTCTTTTCACGAAAGGATATCCTTACCTGTCCTGTAGGTGGTGTTCCCTTACTTTCCTGCAAGTGAGACACAGCAAGGAAGCTTCTCCTTGTTTATATTTGCTTCCTGGGTTTTCCCTTGTTTCATCAGATCACAGGAGGGAGTCAAATGCCAGTGAAGACTTCCACACTGGATTTCTGCATCCTTAAACAAAGCTACAGATTTAATTGCTCATGTTCATCAAAAATATATTAAGAAAAGCCAGACTTTGATATGTCTTCCTTTTTTACTCATAGAAAGCTCTTCCATAGCTTCATATTGCCTAGTTTGCTAGAACTAGATCTACAGTCTGAAAAAAATAGTTAACAAGTCTATATATAGTTAGCAATGATATACAGTCCAACAAAGGCTGCAGATAGCTACATATATTTATGCTGGATTTGGGGGACATCAAACACTGGAGCAGTTGCCCAAAGACGCTGTGGACTTTCTGTCCTTAGAAAGTCAAGACTTCACTGAACATGGACCTGAGCAAACTGATATAGTTACACTTGGTTTTAGTGCAGGGTTGGGCTAGATGACTTCTAGAGATCCCTTCCAACTTTAATGATGAATAGCAGTGAATGTGTTCAGATTCTAATGGAGAATGTTTGCATACGGTATTGAGCAGCTTTAACCTATGGAACCTGGTTGAAGACCAGGTTGGGAGACTTGTGAAAGTCTATTGGTCCAGTGCTCAAAATGAGTTAATCTCACACCAGAGTGACACCACTTGGAAGAATAAAAGGAGCAATTTTATTAGTAAGATTGAGAAAAGCAATGCGGCTAGTAAAACTGAGAAACATTAAAGCCAGATCAGAATATAGGGACTGATGTAAATCCTGGAGAACTTGAGACTGTGTGATCTGAAAGAATATTTGGCACGTGTAATTTCATGAAGATTGACTATTTTATGCACAAGTTCAGGCTAAAGATGGATACATCATGGTAATATTCAATTTTAACTAAAAGGCAACCACTGTGCCCCCATCATTAAGCTGTAATTCTTACCTAAACTTCAACTAGATTTTTCACCAGAATTTTTTTTGTATGATTTAAAATACCATGTAGATACATTACAGAATCTTCATTTAAATATATATTTAATGAGAAATGTTTTACAGTTTTAATGAGTCTTAAAAGTCTTTTGATGAGCAGTCAGTGTAATTATGGTATTTAAAATGATTGGATAAATGCATACATTTTAATTTACCTTCCTCACAACTGAGTTTTCATGCTGGGTATTTTTAACATGAAGAATTGTTTCATTTTGTGTCAGTTTATCTTCCTCTTCCTTCCAGAAAATGTTTTATCTCTGAAATAAAATTAAATATGCATGATACTAGTATTATTGGATAATATTGTAATAGCACAGTTAAAAATCTATCCAGGAGATGAAAATTATTTTGATTTTGTTAGAGAAGTGACAAAATTGATGATTTGTTATCCAGAAGTAAATTACAGAGTAGCTCTGTCCTATATGTGTTGTCTCTGTAGTGCTTGAGGAAATTACCTGCAAAATTTCTGCAGAAGACGTTGCACTAGGTACTACGCTACTGTGGGAAAAAATTCCTCCTTTGAATTTAGAAAGATGGCATAAACTCATGAAACAAATATCAACAAGGAAGAATTTATTCAGTGCGCTGGGTCTTCCTCACACCAAGTTTCCGGGAAGAAAGACCCGTTGAGTTTAATTTCATGCATTTTATAGTTTTACAAAATCCCACCCTTTTTCAGATAAGTTTAATATAGTCATTTTTGCCTAAAAAGGTTTCTTTTCTCTGAAAAGGGGCTTTCCCTTCCTTCCAATTAGCTGCGAGGCATCCTCTGTCAAAAATGATGGATCTTCCCTTGTTCTTAGCCCAAAGAGAGAAAAGAAACCCCTGTGTACAAAATTTGCCAAATGGCCCAGAAAGATTTTAATTTTTAGGAACTTTATATTTCCCTTATCCCGACCGCAAAAGAACCCTGGTACCCAGTCCAGTTTGGAACTGCATACCTTACAACTTCACAATGCGCCTATAATTTTGTTTTATAATAAAACCGTATTTTATTTCTCATAATATCAGCAATCTGCTTTACTACCACAACATAAAGAAAGAGAGACTCAGCAAATTTAGACAGATAAGGATGTTATAGAAATAGCAGTTAAAAAGGAAAAACTGGGCTTGTCGTTGCATTGTATGCTGTATCACACAACCTACATGAAGACCATTAACTGTCACATGCTGAGCCTTACAATTTGTTGTTCAGAAGCAGTACACATTGGCTCCTAGTTAACTGTTACTTTGATATTTTTCTTTTTGTGTGTGTTTAGGTAAGTTTTTTGTTAATGAAAACTGAGCTCATAGTAAGTTGAGTCTTTAATACAGAATAGATAAACTAAAATTAGTACAACGAGCCTAAAGAAAGCAGTGAACAAGAATATTGTTTCTCAGGACCAATGTCAAATTCTCCTGAAATGCTGCAGGAGGTTCACCTTTCCCCATGGTCCACAGATCTTTATATTTGCTAACTGAATGAGTACTTCAGGTAAAAAATACTTGATTATAGCACAACATGTGTCAACAATTCCCATGCTCTGATTTGATCTCATTTGGCATGCAAATTGCTGGCCGTGAGGTAGCTGTTCCCCATCAGCAAAATGTTTTAGTATTTTATCCAGGAAAGAATATAAAAGAAGGCTAAAAATGATGCTTGCTTGAAATATTGGTCTACATCCAGCAAATTGAGGTCATAGTTCCAAGCTTTGTATGGATCTGTGCATGTATTTTCACCTTGCAGCATTCACCAGCAGTTAATACAAACCCTCTTTTGTATCGGCAATGCTAGGCTCAGAAATTTCCCTCCTCCTCTTGGCAAAAGAATATGAAAATTTATTCTGTTCTATTAAATTACTTTTGTGTCATTCATTGTCCACCTTTAAGTGTATCTACGTGCTTTGCAAGTAGATACTTGTATAATAGCATGGATGTACTGTCTTCTTCATATCTTACATGTGTACTGTCATATGGGAAGGCTCAAGTTATATTAATTTCTGTCATAGAATATGTCTATTGAACTTTTCTTCTAAATATTTAACCTCTTATTTTGAACATAATTTATTACAAAGTCAAATAGCCTCAGATTTCTACACAACTTTCCGACGGGTGCCAGTTCCATTTTGCCATGCACCGATGTGTAACTTAATAGTACCAAAGAGAGTTCTAGCTGTGTTCCTACAACTTTTTCTGGTGTTTGGTTTTTTTTTTTTATTTGTTTTCTTTACATTGAAGCACACTTAAATATTTTAATATGATATTTCCACAAACCTTTTTAATTATGGCTCTCTTGTACTTAATATTCCCTTTGTGAAAAATTGTTGAGTTTAATAATTTCCACAGTTGATACGTCTGTCTAGTAAACACTGATTTTTACATACTTAACAGCTTTATGATCTGCAATACCATTTATGGATATTGAGAATACTAATCTAGAAATAGCACATAATTTTCTTCTGCCATAAACAAATAAATCTGTGCTGATTAATATCATTGCTACAAAGCTTCTATGAATATACTTAAAATTAGTTTATCAGAAACTGATAATTCCATCCTTTATTTTCTTTCATATGTTTGAGGGTTTTTTTATTATTGACAAAACAAGCTTTTAAACAGCCTTAACACCTTCTTAAACTTTCCTGGGAACTTCTTTACTCTTTTTATGTTTTTGTTTCATCCAACTTTCTGTGCACATATGTCTTGTTCCTTTTATCCTCATGCCTTCTTTTCTTTTTGATTTCAGCTGGTTTCATGAAGCAAAATGCCTTTAGTCTTAAAAATATTTTCATCTTTGAAATAATTGCATAACTTACTTTTTCAATTTACTTATATTTCCATGGATTTAATATATTCCTTCAAGATAAAGACTCTTTGCATGGACCCATCTCCAGCCATATCTTATTCTTTCTCATGGCCTGTTATGACCAACAATCCTTGGTTGGCTCCACAGCCATCCGGCTATTAGTACTTGAGCCTCTTATCTTCTGGGATCCTGCCACCTATCAAAGGTTCTTATGCTCATAAGAATCTTTATGTAGCCATTACAAGCACTTCATCTCTTCCTGTGAAGTGACCCAGTCACTAAAAAATGGTGTAAGTAGACAAAAAATAATACTTTTACACAGTGCCCACTTCTATCTTCATGGTTTCAGCCATATCTGTGGCTGTTTCAGATACTTCAGAATCAGAAAAACTGCTGTTTATGATGAAATAGACATTGCAAGTGCCAGCTGCAGCAGATACATTAGGTTTTATGATCCTAAGGCTCTCTGTCATTTCTGAATTTGTCATGCTTGTTAAAAATACTGAATAATTAAAACAATTTCAATACATTTTTGACAGTTTATTCTTTTAATATTTTTATCCTAGAATAAAATCCACATGATGCTCCACAATTATGTAGTAAAAATGCTATTTACCTTGAGCAGAAATATAGAGAAAATTAGAATTTCAAAAAAAAAGAGAGAAGCATTGCACTAAATTTAGCTGCATGGTCTCATTTGTTTATTTATTTATTTGGTGGCTGTTTGTGAAGGAATTAAGCTTTTTCTGAAAGCGCTGAACTTTGTGCTGATTTCTGATCTTTAGAAATACGAAGTTCAGAAGTTCAAATATAGCAATGAATTTTTACATTTTTTATCTCTCTCAGATCTGTCCTAATCAGCATTGATCTAATGGTGTTGCATAGCAGCATGTTCTCTGAAATGTGCAAGCAGCTGCAAAGAAGTTAATAGCCTACAGATTCCTGTTTCAAATGCTGGAAATAGTATTAAGTAATAGTAATTTTCCAGATACTGTAGGCTCCAGTGTATCTGGGTTTTTTTGGGCATCTTCCAAAATTTCGTATGTAGTATTTGGATGGTCAGCAAAACCTCTACTTTGGACTTCCAGAGAGTGGACTCCAAGCCATTCTCCATCGTTTATCATCCGTCCTGGCTAACTGGGGAGGTCCCAGATGAGTGGAGGTTGGACAAGGTGATATCCACAAGAAGAGGCAGAAGCAGGATCTGTGGAACTACAGGCCTCTCAGCCTGACCTCAGTGTCTGGTAAGGTTATGGAAAGATCATCTTGAGTGTCGTCACGCAGCACATAAAGGAGGACCAGGGAATCAGGCCCAGCCTGATTCTAAAACCGTATGGGTTTTAGAAAAGGCAGGTCCTACTTGACCAAGCTGATCGCCTTTTATGACCTGCCTGGTAAATGAGGGAAAGGCTGTGGATGTGCCTACCTGGACTTCAGCAAAGCCTTTGACACTGTCTCCTGTGACATTCTGCTGGAGAAGCTGGCAGCCCCCAGCTTGGACAGGTGCACTCTCCACTGGATTGAAAACTGGCTGGATGGCCGGGCCCAGAGAGTGGTAGCAAATATGTTGCATCCAGTTGGCAGCTGGTTGCTAGCAGGATTCCCCAAGGCTCGGTTGTGGGCCCCAATCCTGTTTAATATCTTTATTGATGGTGTGGACAAGGGGATCAAGTCTACCCTCCGTAAATTTGCAGACAGCACTAAATTGGGCAGAGTGTTGATCTGCTGGATGTAGGAAGCAGATGCCTCTGTAGAGGCATCTGGACAGGTTAGATCACTGGGCCAAGGTCAGCTGTATGAGATTCAATAAGACAAAGTGCTTGTTCCTGCACTTGGATCCCATCAACCCCATTGCAGTGCTACAGGCTGGGGGAAGAGTGGCTGGAAGGCAGCCCAGCAGAAGAGGACCTGGGTGTGGTGGTTGACAGCCAGGTGAACATGAGCCAGCAGTATGAATCTTGGCCTGCATCAAAATGGTGGAGGCAGGATCAGGGCAGTGACTATTCCCCTTGTACTCGGCACTGGCTGCACCTCAAATCCTGTGTCCAGTTCTGGGCCCTTCACTTCAAGAAAGACTTGAGGTGCCAGAGCAAGTCTAGAGAAGGGCAGTGGAGCTGGGGAAGGGTCTGGATTGCATGTCCTATGAGGAGCAGCTGAAGGAGCTGGAACTGTTTAGCCTGGAGAAAAGGAGGCTCATGGGAGACCCCATTGCTCTCTGTAACTACCTGAAAGAAGGTTATAGCAAGGTGGGGGTCTCTTCTCCAAGGCAGCTAGTGACAGAACAAGAGGAAAGAGCCTCAAGTTGCACCAGGGTAAGTTCAGGTTGGACATGAGGAGGAATTTCTTCACTGAAAGGGTGGTCAGGCATTGGAACAGGCTGCTCAGGGAAGTGGTGGAGTCATCATCCCTGGAAGAGTTCAAGGAAGGACTGGACATGGCACTTAGAGTTCGGTCAAAGATTGGACTCTATGATCTAGGAAGTCTTTTCCAACCTCAATGATTCTATGATTTTTATATACTTGCCAGATAAATTATATTTCTGTCATGAGAATTCTGAGATTAAGAAAAATTCTCCCAACCTGGACCAAGATGAAATCGAAACTTTTAAAGTTCATCATGCAGAGACACAAAGTCACAAGTCTGGCAGGTGTGAATTTCATCATTACATGGGAGAACCTTCCTCTGTCACTCTTATGTCTTCTGTGAGTCATTTGAATTAGAAAGATACAGACCATCCTACAGTGACACTTTTTTTCTCCTGTCTTAAGGAATTAATCAAATCCTCCCTGAATCACTGTATTGCAGCATCACAGAGTGCTGTACATCTTCCCTTGTTCTCCTCACATCTCTGACCAAAGCTACAATGTAGGACTTGATCATGACTGGCAAAGGCCAACCAGTTAAAGTTTCTGAAGGCATTTTCTTGATTTTTAGCTTTGAAATGTGTTTTGCTTTTGAAAATTAGTAAGAGCAGGTATACATGCATAAAAAGTGTTCACAAAATTGGTGTTTTCTATTCCACTAAAAGTTGTGAACACATGTCTTCATGAGTTTCCTGGTTGCAGATATATATGCGCATAATCCCAAGGAAGTTCCCAGTACGAATAAATATTGTTTAGATTATAGCAGCAACAAAAATGTGCAGTTCAGTTGAATATACATGTCACAGCCAAGTATTTCCATGTGTTACTGTTTTCTTACATGTCTTTTTTTGCATCCATATCCTCCCTGCTTTGTTACTTCCACTTCAGACATCATGTGTATCTTACACAACAAGCTTTATAGCGGTCTTTTTGCTTTATCTCTTGAATAGTGCCATCCTTAGCTTATGTACCCTACAAAACAATGTCAGCAGGAAGTTGGGCAAATAATTTGCCAAATATTATTTTCACTAGCCTGCTAAGCATTTAACTAAATTATCACTGGAGGATCCACAAAGTTGATACTATATAGATTGTGCTCAGATCATGTAAGTTTTTTCACACAGCTTTTGTGTCTGTTTTTTTCTTTCCATACCATAAGCTTTTGCCTATTGCCAGACTAACAGATTAATGAAAAATAATGTAATAGGCCAATTCCTTTTGTAATTATACTATGTAGAAGAAAATTCCTCAATTCTTTCCTTGCATTACATAAATTACAATTTACATTATTCTACTGAGTTAGTTTGAAAACTAAAGCCTCATAATTTTTAAAACAATATTTGCACTGTAGAGTTTAACTTCCCAAAGCAAAAAGGAGTGGAAAAAATCTACCATAAATATGAGGTATATTAAGACATTTCATCATGTCATATTTCTGCTTAATCAATGCCCTATTTAGAAACTACTCTAATAATGTATCTTGGAATACAGTTTACAGTTTTCCATGTGTATGCATGTTGAGTAAATTAATACATTTTAAAATGTATTTAATGCACAGCTTTTTGAAGTTAACTTTTTATAGATATTTCCTTCAGTTTTACATTCCAGAGCTCAGCAAGCTGTTCTGTAGAGCAACCAGTCTTTGCAGTGGGCCAAAACCAGATGAAATTTGCCTTTGTTTATTATCTTTTTTCAGCTAACAGTTTAAAGAGTGAATTTGAGCTAAGCAGAGAAAGTAAAGCTTTTTCCAATTTATTCAGGAGTGCTATCAGGGAATTTCTTTTACCTTTGTAGTGGTTTGGACTTTGTTTTCCCCCAGAGGCTAAGAAAAGTGGTAGACCCCAAGGGGTGGAAACCCCTGGAAGTTTTGAAGTTCTGCCCAATGGGCGCTCCTGCAGAAATGTCAACATATCACAAGCTCACCAGAAGAGATGAGTTGTAGTTTGGTTGTGGTAGGAGAGGTGGCCATGTTGTAGAGCCATGAGGAAGGGGCTCTGAGCCCTTTGGGGCCTCTGGGGCCTCCCAGCCCCGGCTGGGGGGATTGCAGAGACTTGGAACAGTGCTAGACTGGACTAAGTGTCTGTAGTTATGCCGGGAGATGTTTTTCTCCCGGCACAGAGCAGCAGCCGGCAATGACCAGAGAAACGGTGGCAGAGAGCCAGAGATAAGACCTGAACCGGAGAAGCAGCAGAAGCAACATGCAGCACCAGAGAAAGGACTCCTGGAAGGAGAGCCAGGAAAAAGAGAGCCAGCAGCTGAGAGACAGAGTTCTGGGGGTAAGACTGTACCAGCCCCCCAAAACTCCTTTGAGATCCCTCTGAGAAAAGAGGGAGATGGACTCCTATTAAGGAGATGAGTTTTAGACATGCAGCACTGGAGAGAGAGGAGCTAGAGAGCTCCAAGAGGAATGCGGGGGGAGTTGACCTTGGCTCCCCACCTCGCACTGCTGCCATGGTGGCAGCCTGAGAGACAGGGCACAGAGGCCCTGCAAGAGATACCAGACCGTCACGAAGACCCCCCTGTGTCTTCGTGATATGACGTGGTGAAACGACCTTGTCTGGGGTTACAAAGCCCACGGAAGACCCCTTTGCCTGCGTCAAGGGGGCCGAGGGAGCTTGGATACCTCCCTCGTGAGTGCTGGCAGAAATCCAGCTATCAGCTGCTGCATGTGGAGAGGACAGACAGATCTCTGCCTTAGAAGATGCTGCTGCTTAAGGACTGGAAGGGATCTGTCCTTCTTTCCCTCCTGGACTTTTATTTGGAGGGGAGAGGAGATCTGATCCATTGTAAATACATATGTCATGGTAGAGATAGTTGTGATCATGTGTATAATGTGATATGGTATTTATTTGCACAGTCATTGTAATATATTCCCTTTCCCCCACTTTGAGTCTGGTGTGTTTTGTCTGGAAAAACCCATCTCACATTAGGCTGAGATGTGGGAGGGGGCTTAGAGCTAGGGAACTGGATTTTGGGGCTATCTCAAACCATGACAACCTCTTACCTTGGCTGCAAGATGTTGGGCTGCATGACCGATTTCCAGTATTCTCAGTCCTCATTTCACTTACCTGTCTCTTCTTAGTATTTGTGGCTTTATCATTTCTGGATATAAATATTAGTTACACTGCTGTAGGTAATATTACCTTGTTTGGAATGAACGAGGGCAAATTACTAGTTTTTCTGTTCCAAGCATAAACAAATTATTTATTTATTTATTTATTTCACACTAACCTTTCTGTACAGAGTTGCAATACAGCAGTGAAAGACCTGAATGACTAACAATGAAGCATACTGTTAACAGAGATCCTGTACATGTGTCTTTATCCCCTCTCTGTTTTTTTATTCACCTCTTTGCTAGTCTGAAATTGATTTGTTGGGTCATATAAATTTTTATATACAGATTATTTTGTTCTTCTTTCAGATGGTATCTCTGCTCCAATTGGTTGTTCCATTTTCAGTCTGTTCCTGGTAATCCTCAGGGATTACCAGGAGACCAGGTTAAACAACCAGGTACCAACTTTTGAAAATAGAATATGAAGCAGGTGCTAGACTTCTGGGCTTGTTGAATTCACTTTTTCTTTGGTCCTCACAGAAAACTGGGGTATTCTAGCTACAGGCCAGAGAGCAGTGGTTTTAATTTGTTACGATAAGAAGGGGATTATGCTACTGCCATAATAATCTTATGTTTTCAAAATATTAATCTTTTTATGCTATCATAGTAGCCCCTTCTTACCAAATGGAAGAAGTTTCTTGTTGACAAAATATGAATTTTTTATACTCTTAAGGCACAAAGCTGTCAAATTATCAAATATAATTTCTCAGCAGATATATCTTGTGTTTGTATTTACAGAACACACATGTGCCACAGTAACCACATTTCA